TTTCGTAAAGCAAGTCTATTATCTCGTTTTGAATGTTTTTTCCAAGATAGTGAGCTTCGGTTTCCTCTTTTTTTAAGCACTCTACGCACGTGTTTCTCCATAACGGAGTCAAATCCAGATAGCAATTCAACTATTTTTAAAAAGTTGCCGTTATTATGCTCAAACAGCTTGTCGCTTGTACCTTGAAAAGCTAAACAACATTTACTGAGCATTTTAGTAATTGCTACAATCCTTCGAAGCACCTCATACCAGTGAATCGTTTTGCCGTTAATAACTCTTTGGGCAGCTGCATCTATAGTTGTACAGCACTTTAACCTTTGACTGAGTTCTGGCCAGGATTTTTTGAGCCTGATATGATTTTTAGAACACGGCAGTAAATTTTGCAGCAAACGCAATATATGCAGTTCTTTTAAGTGGAGTACACTAGCCAGTCTCTTATAACTTGCTATCCATTTCTTAAAATTCGAGAATAGTAATTTGCGCCAAATTTTCGACCAGTGTTATTTATCATACGGAAATTTGTAATTAAACAATGGTTTAGGTGGATCTTGTCGTACTAAAAATCTTCTTTCGGCATCTCCTAAACTTCTGGGCCACAATGCTGGATCTGTACCTAAAGTTTGTACAGTGCATTCCCTGGGTGGTAGGGTGTGGTCAGTTTGTAAAGGTAGAGTGCTACTAGTGCTAGCAAGGGTGACTTCTGTAAGTGCCAAGGCAGTGTCAGTTGGTAGTGTGATTTCATTTGGTGACAAAGTTGGTTTTGAAATATCGTGTATTGATTGGTTTTGGTCACCAACAATCTCTGATGATTCCATGTCTTCCTCTTTATCTGAATCTTTGGAGATATTTGTTTTGGTACTAATGGTACTACCGGACCTACCCTGTAAATAATTGTGCAGAGCACCAGGTTTTTTGGGTTTCCTTCCTAGCTTTCGCTTTTTGTACTGATAGCTGGACAATTTTCTTTGCGCGTCAGACATTCTAAAACAACAAATTCAACAATGCAAAATACACTAATTAAAATAAGCCACGGCGTTGCTAAAAATAAAAATTGGAAAATCTTCAAATCCAATTAGTCAGTGACAGTTGTGAAAAATAAAATGCTTAGTTTTAATTACCTGCGTAAACTATTTTTAAATATAAAAACGATTTTCTTAACGTTTCGGGCTAATTTTCAATCCGCCTATTGGAAAAAATAGTTAATACTTTTAGTAGTTAAAACTAGGCATTTCATTTTTTTTAAACTGTGGGACAGGCTAAGCCACCGTCACCGACTAATTGTATTTGAAGATTTTTCTTCTTTTATCTTTTTATGCAACGCATTGGCTTATTACTACACAAACCTTTATTTTATTAATTAGTTGGATTTTTTCCAAGTTTTGTTTTAGGTAACAAATTAAAGCCAGTTTCTCAAATATTAAAATATTATAACTGTGGGATCATATGACCTTTTAGTCCTCCCATTTTATCCGCCCTCATATTGATACCAGTGGGATATTAATTCAAAATTATTGCTAACAATGAATATAAAAAAGAAAATCAACCTAATAACGATGGACCAGATTTTGTCTTTATTGTACCTACTTATAGAACCTAATCATGAAAAAAAATCTTACATGAAAGGAAGCTAGTAACAAATCATACACAAACTTCCACTGATAAAACCACATCTATGACATCTGTTCCCCTTCAAGCTGGATTAAGCTGTTATTTTCTTTTCACAATAATAACATTTACGCAAAATAAAATTGGCCAGAATTCTTCCCAACTATAAAAGTCAATGACGCCTGAGTTTCTTGATATTCCTACACTTTAGTCATGATCATCTTAAGTTTATTTCCATGCAATCTAGCGTTTATTAAAATTTGTGTGTATGCTCTTAACGCCTTTGAAAAATAAATATATGGCACATAGAGCTTAACGATGATGAGTCATTAAGTCATGTATAACTTACTAATGTAGTAAGTAATGCATTTTTACCGTGAATTTAGAATTGATGTATGGGCAGGGATTATTGATAAATTTTACCACATCGACTAAATGGCAAAAAACATTTACAATTCTTTTATTTACCAGGCTTTATACATAACGGGGTACCCGTACAATTTGCTTTAAATGTGCGACAATATTTAAATCAAATATTCCTAAATAGATGGATGGATAGAAAACATAATTCTCCTGTAAATTAGCCACCACTCTCTCCTGACACAATGCTGTGTAATTACTCTTTGGGGCGCTTTAAAACCATGGCGTATTCCATTCCGGTTAGTATAGAGAAAGAGTTGCGATAACAAAATAATGCACTCTCTAAAAAATGATGCTGTAATTTGCATTATTGCCATACCAAATTTAATCGCAATTGTTGACGGTATTTTTCTGTTTTTAAAAAAATAGCATTTTTCTTCAAGCGTATAACAATACTTACATTATATATTGCAACACGTCCTGGAGAAAGAGCCTATTTTTGTACTAATACAATTATTTTTCATTTTTTCCTAGGACAAAAATGAAACAATGTACAGTGCTTTGCAAAAGTAAGTAGGACAACGACAGTAGTGGTGTAATATATAGGTATGTAATATAAATGTATCTGCTTTTCCACGCAGATAATTTACCAATTGCTGATCGTATTCAACCATCATTTATCCTTCTCAGTTAAAGGACTTCTTTTAATACTCCTTTCTTCTTATCTCGCTTTTTAACTCTTATAGGTCCAGTAATAAGTGCTGCCCTACTTAGTTTGCATAGCAGTGTACCTATCATACAACGAATTAAAGTAGCTTTGACTTGTCATAACTGTCAGTTTTAAATTCCACGTCGGGTCGGTTTTCAAATTTAAAAGCAAAAATGTCTGAAGAAATGCAGTGCACACCACCTGAATTACTTGAAATTGCAAATTCATCAGTGGCAACATTAATTCCCGCGAAATCCAAAAAAGTTTACGATAATGCGTACGATAAATTTATAAAATGGGCCAAGGACAACAAGGTACATATGTATTCGGAAAATGTGATGATAGCATATTTTACACATTTATCCAAAAAACTGAAAAGTTCCACTCTATGGGTGCAATATTCAATGGTAAAATCTAAATCAAACATCGAATACAATGTAAAAATTAATAACTATTCTAAATAATTGCCTTTTTAAAGCGACAAGGCGAAAATTATAAACCTAAAAAGTCAAAAGTTTTGTTTAAAGAAGAGTTTGATGAATTCCTTAATAAAGCACCTAATGATAAATATTTAGCAACAAAGGTATGTACACATTTTAAAATTATATATTTAACCCTTTCATATCTGTAATATAAAATTTTGTTATAAATTGTGAAATTTCAGTTATTTTATATCTATCCGCTATGAAAATAATAGATAAAAAGAACTGAATGCTTTGATTAAGTCCGGATATAGCTCAGTGGTCAGAGTGTTGGACTCGTAATTTGAAGGCTCGTGTTCGAATCCTGTACTTTTAACTTTTTTTTGCTCTTTCTAACTTTATTTTACTTTTATAAAATTAATATAGTATATTTTTTAGGTTGTACTAATATTTGGAGTCACAGGATCTTGTAGATGCGATGACCTTGTTCATATAAAAGTTAATGTTATAAAAGATTTGGGAGATTTAATCTTAGTAAATATTCCCAACACAAAAACTAAAAAACATCGCTCATTTACAATAATTGGAAATTTTCATTTAAATGTATACAGAAAATATGCTACTCTCGGCCAAAAGACTTTTGGTAGATTTTTTATTAAATATCAAAATGATCATTGACATCGTGTTGTGATGACCATACATAAAATTTCAAACGTTGCAAAAGATGTTGCGTCATTTTCAAAGTTGCCAGATTCACATGAATATACGGGCCATAGCCTTAGAAGAACCTTGGCAACTATCTTAGTTGATAATGGTGGAGATATAACAACCATAAAGCGACATGGTGGATGGAAATCCACCAGTGTTGCTCAAAGATACATTGAAGAATCTGTAAACAACAAAAAACAGATAGCGATGAAAATACTAAACCCATTAGAGTATAATGAGCCCTGTACTTCAATTCAAACTGAAAATATTTTTACTGAAGAATTTTCTGCCAACAATGAAAGAATTTTGAACAATCAAACTGACAATCTTATTACAAGTAATGTATTCGACAGAACTATGAATCTAGAAACAAACACAGCCAGCAGTGCTTTAAACGTAAGCAACTGTACTATACAGAATTGCACATTTAATATTCATGTTAATAAATAATGGTTTTTGGAAAGACCTATAAATACAGATTTTGATGTTTAATAATTAAAAATGTTTCGCCTAGTTGCTCAGCCTCGGCTTGCGCCTCGGCTGAGCAAACTTCTGGGCTCAATATGTAATGTTCGCCTTCTCCTCCTAGTAACATAATATACTATTTTGACCTGTGACTTAACGAAACACTTTTGAATAAATGTAAGTTGGGTTCCTTTCAAAGACATTCTGTACTTATTTTCAAAATGAACAAAATGTTATACATTCTGAAAGCAAAAACTGACAATTTTCCACGCTCATGGTAACTTTACCTAAGTAGAGAACTATGGAGCATGTAATAACGAACTGGCATTGACTTAAACAGCTTGTGTGCAGCTACATTCTGTTATAAATTTTATTGATTATAGAGGAATATTCATATAAATAATTTATGACGGTTGTAACGCCGTAAAATACAAATCCAATATGGATGTGCGAACTGCACTTTGGATGTAGCATTGTACTTTGGATTTAAAACTGATTTATGTAATTTTAGATTTATGTTCCACACTAAGAGATAGTAATGGACAGCTTGCTAAGAAAAGCATTCTGGAGAGTGTTAAGAATGCATTTATAAAAGATCTTATAAAAGCTTTTTATCTGTGTTGAAATTACTTTTTAATTTTTAACTTGTTCAACTATTTAACAATGATGGTGACTTTGTTCATAAAGGAAATTTTTTTGTGTATTTTCTGAGAGTTAATATAGTTACTACATGGTAGCCGAGTGGGTAAAGCGCTTATGGTTATTTTCTCAGTGCCCAAGGTTGGTGGTTCGATTCCATCCTGGACAAGATAGAAATTTTATTTGTAACTTGTTTGGACGAAGATGGAAGAGGGAATTGTCCATATGGATCGGACTCCACAATAAACTGTAGTACTCTCTTAACACAAAATCTTAGGATTTTTAGGAAGTCACTTTAGTAGGCAGCTAGAAAAACATTTTGAGAAACATTTGAAAATGTTCAAAGTCCTCTAAATCTGTTGTATTTCTAATGAGAAATCATAGATCTTTATGCGTGTCATTAGATATATCGTTAAATAGTTTTCATACAATATCATTCATCGAGGGCTGTTTTGTCAAAAAAGAACACCAAGGGCATTATATTCATTAACACGACAAAGTATCGACTCGGTGATGTAAAGGACAGTAGAGCCTGCTTCCACCCAACCCGTCCGGATTTAAAATCAAGTAGGACCTAGTCGGTGATGTATAGTGGATAAGCGAATCTATTCGCGTCACCATTTATTGAAAGGAATAAAAAACTGTGGGTTCTGTGTGTCTGCAATTTGGGTACGTGAAAGATCCCTAGCCTACGGCGATGTGTGTGTTCGGCAGAACTTTCAGGTTAAAGTTGCCAGTGTTTACATATGCACGGATAAACTTTATCCCCTGGCGTCGTTGATTGGCATTGGTAACGGAAATAGACCAAAGTTATAAATTACAGCCTGAATCTTGTTTGTATATGACATAGCTTCAAATGTATTAATATTCAGGTTAAGTTTGAATTTATTGCACCAAGCAGCAACATTATTTAGTTGCATTAGAATGCAATCATTATCGCTTTCGATACTGTGACACAATTTGCAAACATCTGCAAACAAAAGTCAGGTTGAATTATGTCAAAAATCAGCTAAACCATTAATGAAATTGAGAAAGATCAGTGGTCCCAAGATGCTTTCTTGAGGCACGCCCGATATAATTTCAAAATAGGACTATTGAAAATGTTTTAAGTAAAAGCCATTCACCTATAATCAAATTCAAAAATAATTAAATATCATACCAACTACAAGTTTTATTTCATATCAGAAAAAAATTATACAGCTAAGAAAAATATATTTTGTCATGTCAATGGTGAATTTTTCAATATAACTAAAACCATAAAACAAAAACGGATGAGCGGCTTAATATGGAGCGCTACATAATTTCACACTTTTTGGACTAATAAGGACAATGATTAATATTCCTGGCACTAATTTGACTATAATTATAATAACAGTACTGGTAATATACTATCACATTCAAATTAGTTCCCATTATAACGTTTAAGAAACACTTTTATGAAAATGTCCAGGGCAGCACTGGCTAGGAGGAAAAAATTTTAAAACATTTTAATCGTTTAAAAACATGTATTGATATATTATAAAATGTTACAATTTTTATGAATGTGTAAAAGCTTTATACGAGTTGCGTAAGATGTAAGATTGTATAAAATTTGCTACGTGTTTTGTCTTAACACAATTTTTATTTTATTCCACACATATTGTGTAATAAGGCGTTTTTCTGCCCTACTAGTTAATTTAATGGAATAAAACAAAATCTATAAACAAATACATATAATCAAAATTAACATGATTTTTGACTCTCTTCTCCGGGCGGGGAAACGAGCAATTGACCAGACAAATTTCATAATCTTAAAACTAAGTACATAATAAAAAACACAGTCGACAATCACCCAATTAACTAATGAAAATTATCCAATTGGTATATAATATTTTGTAAGGCGCCACCCTCTGTTTAAAGTGTTTACACATAAAGTTCAGGAAAGGGACAGATGGGCAAATCAAGGCAAGTTAAATTATTGGTAGTACGCCAGCGAGCACTTCCAGCTAACACAGGCAGGCTTATTCTCGTTGCTAGGTACCTAGTTTTTATAATTTGTCAAAGATAACCTTATCGGTTGTTGTGCACAGCTCAACATATTTTCATTTCTTACTCCATTACTCTGAAGAATAGAACCATTCTCGTGGTCACAAAACTACTATCACACCTGGACATTACCTTAGTATATCGTGTGCTCAGCAATATTTTTCTTCTCTTGACAAAATGTCAACTCCAACACAAAAAAGGCAACGCAGCATACAAACTCTAACGGAAAAAGGTACGGAAAGTTAACATATACAAGTTCAGTCAATCACACAGGTCCACCATCAACCGCGGTTGCCGAGCGTCTTCCCCTTTTTCGGGGCTCAGCATTGTCTATCTTTCGCGCTCAAAAACACTGCACGAAAACATCATCCGATCTGCGCGCGCTCTATTTGAAGCGTCTGGGATAATACAATTCACTCAGTAACGCCACGCTACAGGGGTAATACAAGAACAAATCTGGAATTTAAGGTATAACGAACCATTTTATCTAATTTACAACGAATGTGATCCAAATTATTTATTGCCGTTACAATGGCATATAAATCCTTACTCGTAATCTTCAAAGAAGAAAATTTTACGTTACATTCAACACATATTTTTAGACATTTAAAAAAAAAGGAAAGTTTATTTTAATCTTATTTGCGACATAAAAACGCCGGCTTCTTTGACGGCCGTAAAGCGATCTTTATAAGATTTTTTAAAATATGCTACATATTTGTTCTAACGTAATTTTTACTTTAAAATAAAAGTGCAAGGAAGCAGGAGATACTTCTTAATATTTGCTGTTTGCTATTTTATTAATTTGATGAAGCAAAATCGCTTATTAATCTATTAACAATGCCCCTCAGCTCATAGGGCATCTTCTAATTAGTATTGCAAACTGTCTCCTCAGACTATATCTATTTACTTATCTTTTGATGTCAACAAGCTAATTAAATTTAAGACACTCTGGGTTAGATAAGGACACGTTGTAATAACCTGCGATCATGTATTACACTTTTATGAAATTTCATTTCTGGATTCTAAAACACGAATTTAATATGAAATAACTTGTTTTCTGGATATCCTTTAGACTTTTTGAAAGATTTCTCTAATATAAAAATATTACTTTAATTGATATGTGAAATAATACCAATCCTGCCCTGAATAGGTCGTGCTACAATTATTATAGTAATTAATGAATTTACAATATGTTAATAAAACATTAGGAAATACATTGTTACTTCTATTTAGGTTATGTAATATAAATGTTAATGTCGACGTTGAATGCTGGGTTAATATAGCCAATTTATATCAAGATGACAATTGTATTGTTTCAGAAATGGCAACGTGATTTTACTTTTTAATTTAGTCATAACCATAATGACCATTCAATTGTATGCAATTGGGAATTTATTGTTTATTAGCGCATTTGTCATAAGGTGAACAAAGGCTCAATTGTTTTAAGGTTGTGGTTTTTTTGGTGTACCATTAGTCCGCTTTGTTTATTTGGGTCGCCCATTTTAATAAGGTAAGTTCCAAGTGGTTTTATTTGCAAGTTTTGATGATGCAAACTTCTGGCGGAGGTGACGGTGTGAACAAATGTTCAAAATGTAGTAACTTAAGATAAACGTTAAAAGAATATTGAATTTTAACCGCCTTAAAAACAGTCGGTTGATGAATTTTAGGCTGTCATATCTTAGTATTGGAGCATGGGACCCAAACGATACTTTAATTTGCACAGTGAAAAATGAATCTAAAATAAAATTTCAAAACGGTATAACTTTATAGAAAACCAATGGTTTTTGATGAAATTTGAAATCTGTCGTTATATTTTCCACCTGATTCTGGAAAATGTTTCGCAATATTTAACAAATTGTGTCAAAAATAACCTTGGAAGATCACAATTTTTCCAACTTTTTTTCGCAAATTTCGATCGCAATTTTTTTTCTGCATAACTTCTTCATTTAGTCTTGATAATTACGCCTTGAAGTATCGATTAGGTCCCATGCTCCAACGCTAAGATATGACAGCCTAAATTTCACCAGCCGCCCCTGCTTAAAGATGAAAAATATTATCATTATCTTTCTCTTGTTGTCAATAAACACCCTCTGCCTGATGATTTGACGTAAAGTTACATGCGCAGATGCTTATTTTTAACACGCTTTTATTAGCTTCACCTGTATGTTTGCTTGCTTGCTTGCTTGTTTGTTTGCTTGTTTGTTTGTAACCGACTCTTTGGACTCGATTTTGACCCACTTTAAACGGACAGATTTAATTGAAACTTTGTACACTTACGAAGAACCGGTAACAATACAATAATTTGATAAGTTTATATCATTATCCTGATCAGGATCGCCAATCCTTTCCTCACGTATCCCTGCGTGAAAGCAAAGGCTTAATATGTAAGTAGATTCCGTATTTGTTAATTAGCTCGGTGGTCGAGTGGGTTAAGGCAGTCGACGCGAAACGACAGACTCCTCCGGCGTGAGTTCGAACCCCACGGCTGAAATAAAAAAATATTTTTTTTTTCAGAAATATCTGTTGGATCGTAATATGTTATAATATCAGCATCAATAAGCAATATAAATATAGTTTAAAACAACTAAAAAACACGCTTTCATAGCACATCAAACTAAAAAGTTAAAAATAAATATAGTTTAAAAAAACTAAAAAACACGCTTTTAAAGCACATCAAACTAAAAAGTGAAAAATAATTATTAATATAAACTGAAAACAATAATGAACGAAAAATACTAGTATTATTGTGAAAAAAGCGTGGGGCGCTTTGTGCCATATTTTTCGTATATCGAGCAACCCACGCCTTTTTCACAATAATACTAGTATTTTTCGTTCATTATTGTTTTCAGTTTATATTAATAATTATTTTTCACTTTTTAGTTTGATGTGCTTTAAAAGCGTGTTTTTTAGTTTTTTTAAACTATATTTATTCCAGTAGCATTCTAGGTAACTAACAGTGTTTTTTAGATAACCAAGAATTAATCATGTGGTAGTATGCCCAAGAAAGAAAAAAAACTTTGAGACGTTAGAATAACTACAACATACTGTATTTTATCAACCATCAATAATAATACTGTTATAGAACGCATAAAAATGCGCGTTAAAACATTTTTTTATTTTCCACATTATTTCTAGTATGTATCA